CTGATATATCGACTCCATAAAATACAGTCCTGGGAATGGTGACTCTCTCTTGGGTGCAGAGTTTGCTTTGGCCCAGTGTAAAAGTTTGTTGTGGGGGTTCTGAGATAAAATGTATTTCCTTAGTTGCTTGTTTTGGAAAGCTTTGATACTGCTGATGCTCTTTTTGATCCTGGTTACCCATTTCACCAGAGATCCTTGTCTCCATGTCTCCATGTGAAAACACATACCCTGCCCTCCTGAGTTCTCTGTCTGATTGGAGTTTTGCTATTTTACAGACTATGTCTTCTGTGTGTTGGGTAAGGACCGCTTGCCCAGCATAGGCTGAAGTTGGGCAACTAGAGTACGCAGAGGTAGTGTCAACACATTGGCACTGCATTTCTGCAGGGAAATCTATAGTACTGTCATCCGAGGGTGGGATATATATGCCATGGGGTTGTTTTGAAACTGCAATGGATAACTCATCCTGATTCCATCTCCTTTCAGATTCTGTTTTGGCCTTGGGTTCGAGTTCTATGGGTCTCTGTCTTACCGCCATTTCTCTCTCCACTCGCCTCTTATCTCTGTGTATCTCTTTATCTATCATTATCTCCCTCTCATTCTCCTCTCTCACGTTCTTAATCTCTCGTTCTGAGTTGATTTCTCTCCCATTGTGTTTGATAGGAACTCGTCGTGCAAACGCAAGTCCCTCAGGGATTTTGACGGAGGCCACAGTGAAGCCTTCTCCATCTAAACTAGACATCCATTCCTCTGTCTCTCCACGAACTGAGTCGTTCCTCTTATTTTCCACCCTTCTTTCTTTTTGTCTCTTTTCATGCATCACTTCATCAGGTTTGGGTTGACCCCATCGCCCGGTGACCTTTGGTTCACTTCTTGATTGATCGGTGACCCTTGTTTTGACCCTGCGGTCGGAGTACGACCTCTCCACCACCTTAAAATCTGTCTTTTCCTCACAATCTCTGGCCTCTTGTTGGCAAACCACACGGTCAGAGAAGCTAAAGGAGCGTTTGGGTACACCCCTGAATGTCGGACTCGTGTCTGTCTCCTCCGTACTCTGGTCCTCCTGCACAAACAGGTCTCCTGTGCTGTATCTGGCACGGTTCTTGCCTGGTTGGTTGAAGCCCTCAATGCTCTTGGAGCGCATTGGAGGTTTTGGGTGTTCACCGAACTTACTAAGCAGCTGACTGACCCGACCACTACACTCTGGAGTCCCCCTGTCCTTGTGGTTCAAGACTCTCTCTGCTTTTTGCATGACTGTCCTCGATGTCATTCGCATAGAGGACCATATCCCCTCTTTCTCTAAACGCTCACTTCCTCTTTCTGTGATCCCTGCCGTTTTTGTTTCCCTTCTCCCGTCTGTCATGGGAGGTTTGATGATCAGTACTTCTGAAGCCCTAATTTCCGTCACGCTTCCTCCGCCAGCTAGAAACTCCCTCAAATCCATCGTCATCCTTTTCTGTTCCTCCTCAACCTCCTTTTCTCCCTTATCCAGTTTTTCCTTACTATTTTTGTCTTTCTCAATAATGATAATATTGTTTGCCTGGATCGTGCGAAGACCTACGACCGGAGAAAATAGGGATGCGCTACTGTCTGCCTCCCTGCTTTCTCTCCCAGTGCTTCTGTCTCGCTCTCTTCCCTCACTTTTACTTCCCATCTTCTCGACCCACATCTCTCTATCGCGTCCTCTCCAAATCTCCTTCTCCGTTTCCTTATTTCTTTCTCTCCCTCTATTATTGGTGGCCTTTTTATATTCATTCTCTCCATCTCTAATCACCTCCTTCCCTCTGTTATCTCTCTTAAAGCTGTTCTCAGAGCGAATGAAGGGGCTCTGTTGGATGGGGCTGATGGTTTCTTTGGGTATCTGTTTTTGCATTTTGTACGCAGTCTGGTCAGTCTGGAGGTGAAGTGTGAAATTACTGTCCACCTGCTCCGTGACGATGTCCTCCGTAATGCCCAGGATATCTGGAGTATGCTGTCCTCCATCTCTCTCTTTCTCCCTCTCTCTTTCTTCATCCTGCTTCGCCCTCCTTCTCTGGATGATCCCCCGCTTCCAAGCCGGCATGCTGGCAAGCCGCTCCTCTTCCTCCCTCTCTCGTCTCTCTCTCTCCTCCTCCTCTCTTCGCTTTCGCTCCAGTAGCAGCTGCTTCCTTCCGGTAAAGCAGAGAGAGACATAACCACGGAGTACTCGATGAAACAGTGCTGTTTTACTAATCAGAACTTTTGCAGAAATGCAGTTTTATCCAAGGACATCCAGGAATCCTGTCAAAACAAATTGATGTATACATTAGCTGTTGTATTTTTTTTATGTGTTAAACATGCAGTTAACAGTGCAAAACTACTGTCAGAATAAACACTGATGCTCTTACAGGTATATTTACAATGGATATGCCAACTTTGTCGGATAAACTGTCTTATATCAGCAATATCCTGTGAAATGCAAGTCTTCCTGGAGTACAAATGGGTAAATGTTTTTATTCAAGCATCAAGATATTAGGTTTTAAATTAATCTGAATGGAAAAGAGAAGGTATATTTACGGTACACTGACTGGTCACTTTTTTGTGCAACATTTAGCTTTTTATTTCAGGTCACTGTGATGTCAAATTAATTTTAAAAGCACACATGTAAAGTCAAATTAATTTTAAAAGCACACATTTACATGCACTTTCTCCATGCAAACATTTGCATGCTTGAGCCCGGTCTCATGAAAATTCGTATCAATAGAACGATTTTTTTATTTTTTTTTTACATACTGATTATATGCAGAAACTGACTTTGGCGTGCATAGGATACGCACGTGTTTGACGTGCATATAATACGCATTTTTTTGCGTGCATATATGGATTATTTAATGGGGATTTGCTGGACAAAAAAATTTGCTAGGAAAAAATTTATAATGTTCCATTGTCTAAGATGTTCAAAGTATTCTATATTTTGGCATTGATCTATTTGAAACACAATAGTCAATATATAATGTTTTAAATAACTTTTTACTAACCTTATTGCTTCAGATTGTGTGGGATTACTGAATTCCTGATTCAATGGAATAAAGTTTTCCTCGTGTCCACGCGCTCGACGTTCCTCGTTCCATTTGTTTAACTCCAAAAAGACGCATCAAAAGTCCAGATAATTCCTTCAATCCTCACAAAAGCGAAGCAGCAACCTTCTGTCTAACACGTACCGAATAAGACACCTCCAGTTAATTCATATTTCTGTGATTCCTTGAACTGTAGGCTATATCGGTCTCGTGAACCGGAGCGGCAGTGTAGTAAATATTACCGGCTTTAGAGACGCAGGACTGTAATCCCATAATTACATTAAACTCCAGCGGGAGAATCACAGACGCACACACACACCATATTGCCTAAGAAAAGACCGCCGTCTGCTGCCCTCCATCTCCCCCTCCCGGACACCGGAGCCGTTAACGGGAGAGTTACGCGAGGTGACGGATGCACGGGATTTAAACGTCAGCTCTTAGATAACGTAACCGCTCAGTTGCAGTCCAAGCACACATGCATTAATTAGTGTCTTTGTTATATATTATATAAATATATCACAAACGTTGAAACCATATACAAGAATGTATGCCTAAAAATGTACCCAATTGAGATCATAATAGACATGTTTTTGTTGTCTATCTGATTCCTGAAATATACGTTTAATTCCAAATTATAATAAAATGCAAAAATACATTTGTTGTAAAAACAAAATTTTATTCAGCATTATTTAGCAAAGTAATGTGTTAAACCTATAAAACACACATCATGATACAGAAAAAAAACATAATCAAGTCAATAAACAAAGTTTAATAATGGTTTTCAGCTCTAACAACAGTGCATTTTTTCATGTACTCCTACAAAAGTAATTTCAAGTTTATTGACCATATAAAAATACATTCTGTACCAAACTCTGAGGTCATTATATGTAAACACACTTCAAGCATTAAACATTTTCATAAAATAAAAGGCATGTTTTGCAGTAGTATGACACTGAATCGCGAAAAAACACATGAGCTCAGTACATAACACGGTATTTATCCCATCACCTGCTCACTTCTTGGTTGTGCAATGCAAAAATAAAAGTATTATATAAAAACATGCAGTAAGATGCAAAACGGCGGTTGTACAAAAGTCTTCATGAAAGCAGAAACAAAACACCAAAATAACTTCCTCCAATCTGTCATTTTTTTCACACCTAACTTGCCTTGATGATGGCAGGTAAATGCTAATTTGTTGAAGGTTAAAGTAAACACTACAGATAGAAAAAATGAACATAAAGGAAGAAGACTTTAAATACTGGCAGATTTTGGAGTGGCATACTGTCATACAGCTCAAAAATACACAATAAACTTATTAAACATCCGAGATAAGTGGCCAACACTTGCTGAATTAAGCATTTAATTGTTTGAAGGTTTGAAACCTTTGTGAATCATTCGTCCTGATCTCAGATCAATTAAAAAAAAAATGTAAAACACATTTATATAATAAAATTGTACTATATAGAAAGATATTTGATTTGTTAATTGCATTTAGACTGCAGTTTGCAGCTGGTTTAGAAAAGGTGTTTTATGCATATTTGGCCGTAGTTTTCTTTGCGTTTACGTGAGTTGTTTTGAGCGCTCTGGAAAAATGTGAATAATTTTGCAAAGCAATTGGTTCAAGTGATTCAAAAAGCTTCATTTCACCATTAAAAATGCATAGTAATGATTAGAAATGCAATATGCTGCATTTGTTGTCACATTTTGCATTTGAAATTTTGCAATTGATGCATGCAAATAATGTTTCTTTTTAAAGTACTTAAAAAATATATATTTTGGAAAGTTTATAGTGTATATTGTGTGCAGTATTCTAGTATTTCATTCCAAACATAGTTTTAATTGTAATGCTGCAATATGACCACATTTATGCCACCCAAAATCAAAAAGTGTCAGGACAATTAAAGAATCAAGGTGCAAGCAAATTGTTTTTTTGATTATAAGAAGTTTTAACTGTTAACAGCACAAAGGTGTTTTATGCATATTTGGCCGTAGTTTTCTTTGCGTTTACGTGAGTTGTTTTGAGCGCTCTGGAAAAATGTGAATAATTTTGCAAAGCAATTGGTTCAAGTGATTCAAAAAGCTTCATTTCACCATTAAAAATGCATAGTAATGATTAGAAATGCAATATGCTGCATTTGTTGTCACATTTTGCATTTGAAATTTTGCAATTGATGCATGCAAATAATGTTTCTTTTTAAAGTACTTAAAAAATATATATTTTGGAAAGTTTATAGTGTATATTGTGTGCAGTATTCTAGTATTTCATTCCAAACATAGTTTTAATTGTAATGCTGCAATATGACCACATTTATGCCACCCAAAATCAAAAAGTGTCAGGACAATTAAAGAATCAAGGATCAAAAGAATCAAAATTGTTTTTTTGATTATAAGAAGTTTTAACTGTTAACAGCACAATTTAGTTTGTGTGCATTTGTGTACTGGTGAAGAACTACAATATAGTTGGTTTTTGAGGCAAGAGGCTTGTGCAACAAAACTACTGTACGTTTCTCATCATTCTCTGTAGCAGCACATAAATGATGAAATGCACAGATAAAGCCTCCGTTACTCACTACATTTGCATCACTTGTTGTTCATTAGGTTGCATTAGTTGTAAAATCTTCCTGACTTTTTGAATATAAAGAAATATGAAAATGCCCAAACATAGTTTAGTGACTTCTGGTTTTCTAGGTAACAACTTGAAGGCAGCATTACACTCTTATTTGACCATGCCTGTCATTCAGTCGGTCTTATGCGTGTTGTTGCGCTGATCGCTGCCCTCTAGTGGTGCGGAGAAGAGCTGCAGTTTGCTGCGCAGCTGCCGGCGCAGGTAAGTGCAGTCCTGGGTGTCCAGCGAGTGAGCGAGGATCAGGTAAACGGACAGGTACACAGCCAGCAGGAGCCGGTCCAGCGGGAACGTGGGGAGGAGCCAGAGCACCGTGAGCAGCTCCACACAGACGGGATGCCTGAGGTGAGCGTAGAGCCGCTGCGCACGCTCAGACTTCAGCAGGAGAGGGTCACCCAGACCCAGACACTCATAATACACCTGACCAACACAGAGGAGAGATGATTTACAATGTGCAAATTGGTGAAAAAATGCTATATGAAATATAAAGTGCAAAATATGCAATTTGGTGCATATGCTGATATTTATATGATGAAATTCTGATGCTTAGATACTGACATAAAATGATCTAAATATCAGTCGTGGCTCTATATCTCCAGTAATCTGTCTCAGTAAGAAGAGATTGAAATGCTCCAAACATATAATGCAGTGATTGAGAGCTGAAGAAATAAAGGCTCCTCAGAAGATGTGAGATGTTCTGGAGGCTTGTGAAGATCATTCCTCTGCTGAGGAACAGTGAAAGTAAAGCTTCTAGAAACAAACGCTCCTCAAAAGATCCTGAGGATCAGATTTGAGACTCTAAAACATGATTGATGGAGAATCAAGTAAAGCTGAGCTGCTTCAGTCCAGTAAGAGTTCATCTGGAAATATTACTGCAATTATTCTGACCTTTACTTCATAAAAATCTGTCAAGATTTGACACGAGAAGCAGCAGCTGAAGCTGGACGTTTATACAATTACACTAAAAGAGCTTTGGCTGGTTAAAAATGACAGAAGGCATGTAGTAGATTGTGTGCAACAGGTTTAACAGCAAAGTTTTGAACATTTAGAGGCCTTAGAAATGTGCATATCAAATATGATACAGTGAAAATATAGCTTTTGTTGTTCTAAATGCTTATTGTAGATGCATATGTACCTGTTTGATGCCCAGTAGTTCTGGATAGTCGAAGATGAGCAGGATGCTGCAGATTATGGCCCAGCACAGGAAGTGTAAAATAAAACAGATGAGTGGGAACCAGATATCCCAGGGTGCATTGCGCACTGACCACAGGCAGGGGGCGCTGGTGACCGGCTGCCAGTAGTGCATCAATATCTACACAGAGATTAAGATTACAGTTAGAGCAGAATTTATAGTTATGGTTTGTGTTATTAAATTAATCGCCAAGTTATTTAATTACAAATGTTTCTTAGGGTTTTACAGGGTTGTTTTTTAGAAAAGAGTGCTAGAAGGATATGTGGAAAAGTTTAGAGAAAAACAGTGTGGAAAAAAAGAAAAAGAAAAATGTATAATTATTATTTTTTTAATTAAATAATATATAACTATACATTATAAATATATAACTTTTGTATAAATTAATACATAATTGATTAAAATAAAACATATTTAAATAAAAAATAAATGATTAAAATAAAAATAATGGACTAAATTACTAAATAATGTTTTATTTAAATAATACATTTTATTACATTAAAAATAAAAATGAGTAAATTAATTTAAAAAAATAAAATTAATCAATCTAAATGTACAGTACTATAGTGTGTAAAAAAAATGTAAGATAAAAGAAACAAAATATTCTTCAAATAAGATTTTACACATAACAAGGTCTTTATACTTATTTATATAACCTATCAATGGCAAGACTGAAAATACTAAATCCCACAAATAAAAAAAAAAGCAAAATAGCTCCATTTATTTCTATTATTATAACTGTACACCACTTGCAGAATTAAACATGCCTATAATGCAGTCATGTGACAACAATGCAGCATACTAATGTCAGAAACGTTTATTGTTGCATACTGTTTCACATACTAGTTTTTAAGAAAATCAGGCAGTTTGCAATATATGCTAGTGCTGGGCGGTATGACCAATTAGAACATCTTAACATTTATTTATATATTATAACTAATATGTAATATATAATTAATATGGAAATGTCATGTATGCCCAAAGATACATACAGGGAAAAATAAATATATCAATAAATCAAATAAAAGTAAATTATAATAATAATGATTTTCCTGTAGCAACTGCTGGACAGAGAAATCTAACATTATGTACATGAGTAACAGTATTTCAGTTCTGGTCTGTGAGAGTGTGTCTATTGGCTGTGTTTCTGGATTGTGTTTGTCCCTCAGGTCATGGCACGATGCTACTAATCTGATCTGTGTGGTCCGAATGGTTGAGAGTGAGTGTGAGTTCTGAGGCTGGCTGATCTCTGTCAGTCTCAGCACCAGCTGAAGGAGGGGACTCTTCGTGAGGCTCAGCTCTTGGTGTTTCAGGGCTTTATAATGGTATGTGCTGGGGTCACTTGTCTTTAGGTGTTTCCAGAATTTGATGGCTCTTTTTTGGATGTTTAGAAGGAGAGGGTATTGGCCTAATTCTGCCCTGCATCCGTTATTTGGTGTTTTTCTTTGGACTTTGAGTATTCTTTTACAGAAATCTAAATGCATTTTTTCAATTGGATGTTTTTCCCAGTTTAAAAAATCTAATTTTATAGGTGGACCCCAGACTTCACTGCCATATAATACAATTGGTTCAATTACTGATTTGAAAAGTTTGAGCCAGATTTGGATTGGGATGTCAATTTTAATTGATCTTTTGATGGCATAGAAAGCCCTTTGAGCTTTCTCTTTGAGCTCATTCACAGCCAAAGTAAAGTTACCTGTTGGAGTAATTTTTAGGCCGAGGTAAGTGTATGTTTTTGTGGTTTCAATGGTTCTGTGTGATAGTGTGAATGTGTGTGTTAGTCCCTGAGATCTGGAGCGTTTCTGGAAGATCATGACTTTAGTTTTTTGGAGGTTGACTGTCAGGGCCCAGGTCTGACAGTAATCCTCTAGCAGATTCAGGATGTCCTGAAGCCCTTCTTTAGTGGGCAACAGGAGAACCAGGTAATCTGCGTAAAGAAGACACTTTATTTCTGTGTCATGTAGAGTGAGACCTTGAATGGGAGCATGTTCTAAAACACTGGCCAATTGGTTGATGTAAATGTTGAAGAGGGTGGGGCTTAAACTGCAGCCCTGTCTCACTCCACGCCTCTGAAGAAAAAATTCTGTTCTTTTGTTTCCAATTTTAACAGCACATTGACTGATTGTGTACATGGATTTGATCAAATCATAAAATGTACCTCCTATTCCGCTGTCGATGAGTTTTAGGAATAATCCTTCATGCCAGATTGAGTCGAATGCTTTCTAGAAATCAATAAAACAGGCGAAAATTTGACTTTTGTTTTGATGTACATATTTATCAATTTGTGTTTGTAGTGTAAAAATGTGATCAGAAGTGCGGCATTTTGGGAGGAAACCAATTTGAGATTTACTCAAGGCATTGTGTTTGATAAGGAAGTCTGAGAGTCTTGTGTTTAAGATGCTGCAGAAAACCTTCCCCAGGTTACTGTTCACACAGATGCCTCGGTAGTTGTTGGGCTCCAGTTTGTCTCCGTTCTTGTGAATGGGGCTGATGAGGCCCTGGTTCCAGATCTCAGGGAAGAACCCTACACACAGAACATCACTGAAGAGTTTGAGGATGGCCAGTTTGAAGCTTTGCTCTGTGTGTTTCAGCATCTCGTTCAGGATGCCGTCAACACCGCAGGCTTTCTTGGGCTCGAGGACCCGTAATTTATCTTCCAATTCTTTCAGTGTTATGGGGAAATCTAAGGGGTTTTGGTATGCTTTTATTGATTTTTCAAAAATGTCTAGTTTTGTAATTAATTAATTTTGATCAGAGTTTTGAATTTCAGTTGAGCTATATAATTCTTGGAAATTATTCTTCCATATCTCTCCATCTTGGATAGCCAGATCTTCTTGATTAGATTTGTTTAATAATTTCCATTTATCCCAGAATTTGTTTGAATTAATAGATTTTTCAATCTCTTCAAACTGGTCTTGCAGAAACTGAGCTTTTTTCCGGCGGAGTGTGGCTTTGTATTGCCTCAGTGCCTCGCAGTAATGAAGACGGAGCTCCTGGTTTTCTGGTTGACGGTGTTTTTGGTTGGATACATTTCAGAGGTTTTTTCTCAGAGCCTTACAGTCTGACTCAAACCATCTGTCAGTGTCCAATTTCTTTTTCTTTGGTTTTATAATTGTCATATCACTTCTTTGTGCTGTCTTATAGAATATGTAATTTATATCTTTCACTGCTTGATTGATGCCGAATTGATTTTTAGGGTATTCCTGTATTTGGAAAGAATATAAGAGGGACTGTATTTCTGACGATTCAGTAGCGTTGATGTAATTAGTGGTACTGTTTTCTGTGCATTTGAATGACATAATTTTGTGCATTTGATATGGTGTCCTAATTGGTTTGGGCAATGTTTCAGACTTCTATCTATCTATCTATCTATCTATCTATCTATCTATCTATCTATATATCTATCTATCTATCGTCTGTCTATCTATCTATCTATTTATCTATCTGTCTGCCTATCTATCTATCTCTCTGTCTGTCTGTCTGTCTGTCTATCTATCTAT